AAAAAAAAAGACAGCTCGTGAGCCGGCTTGCGAGCTGTTGAACAACTAATTTTGGGCTCGAGCTCGTCCGAAGTTCGAGCTTTTTTCGAGCCGGCTCGGCTCGTTTACCACCCCTATTGTTGACTATGTAACACATGAGAGTATGTGCTAATTGTTTTAACATAAGGACTTTTTTAGCCATTAGACATTATACATGGGTGTTGGATGCTAAAACCTCGTAAGATTTACGTATATGAAAAATTGAAGCAACTATTTTTGTAGGGTAAATTACAACCACCCCTGAGATATAGTCAATTTACAAAAAAAAACCCTCTTGTTTAGATAATTACATCTACCCCCTCAACTATGATTTTTTTCTTACACCTCCACTCTCATGGTGTCAAATTCAAGATAATAATCTAGATTTCGTGGAATGTGCTCTAGTTTGTACTCATTTTGTGTAATAATACAGTTTTTGATGCACCACAATTTGATATATACAAGCCAAAAAACACATATTATGATTATCTTGCTCAAAATGTTGAGTTTGAATAGGATAAAACGGGTACAAAAGTGATAATATTCCATATAATCTCGAAGATTCCACTAAATTTGAAACCGCAAGGGTGGACGTTGTAACAACAAATTCTTATCTGCGATTTAGACAAACAAGAAAAACTTGCACAAAGATAATTTATTGAATTAAAATAAAATATTGCGGGTTACAAACTCTAATTTAATCCTCTGATTCTTCTCTCAAGAACGATATGCGTTTGACTTTGAATTTTGGAGACGAGTCGTTGACTTGATCTTCTCCGGATTTGATTTGGATTTGAATAACGTCTTCCGAGGGTCTTGCGACTTGAATCTCGGATCGAACACTGAACTTTGACGGATTTTGACTTGAAGATCTTGGAGTTCTTGATGGATTTGGCCCTTCAATCTTCCTTCGATCTCGATTTGATGTTAATAACGTTAATTCGAGGGTTTAGCACCGTAATCTCGAATTAAACGCTTTAACGCCTTGATTTGATGAAGAACACCTTCGATTTGATGAACTCCTTCGATTTGATGAAGAACGCCTTGAATTTGATGAAGAACGACTTGAATATTGTAGAGAGAATTTTCTCCTACGGTTTTTCTTCTTCTTGAGTTGTCCTTTGAATTGTGTAGGGAGGGTCCCTATTTATAGTGGTAGAATAAGAGTCCTACTTAAAGTCTGCTTGATGACGTGGCGCGATTTGATTGGCTCTCTTTATATTGATATTTATCTCTTATAACTTGGAAGAGAAGAAATAATCCTATTGGCCAATAATTAATTGATAATTATCCCCATGACTTGTCTTGCAAGACAAGGTATAATTTAATTTAGACACAATTTAATTGGCTAATTTAATTAACCAATTAATTAATTTTATGCGTCTACAAATGCCCCCTCGAGACTTGTTCACGGACAATGCATTTTGGAGTGGATAAGTCTCGATAATTGCTCAACTTCAATTGGAGCTTGATCTAGTAAAGCACATATAACTTTTGAAATCATGACTGGACTTAGAGAGATTCTAAGTTGCCTACGTACCCTGTAAAGGGATCAAGTCATAACTTAGTTCAAAATATATCCTTTTGAGGGATGTCGTGCACAGTTTATACTCATGTGGACAAGGAGAAATATATGCAGTTTAAACTCATGCTGAAGGAGCATTTGACTTGAATTTGTGGATAGTTTACGCTCGTATCAAGGAGCCTTGACTTGCTTTCGATATATAGATAGTTTATGCTCGTATCGAGGAGCCTTGACTTGATTTTGATATATAGATAGTTTATGCTCGTATCATGGAGCCTTGACTTGATTTAGATATATAGATAGTTTATGCTCGTATCAAGGAGCCTTGACTTGATTTGAATATGTAGATAGTTTATGCTCGTATCAAGGAGCCTTGACTTGATTTGGATATATAGATAGTTTATGCTCGTATCAAGGAGCCTTGGTTTGATTTGGATATGTTGACATTTTAAACTCGTGTCAAGGAGTACTTCGTTTGATTTGGACATATAGACCTTTTAAACTCGTGTCAATGAGTACTTTGTTTGATTTGGACATGTAGACCTTTTAAACTCGTGTCAATGAGTACTTCGCTTGATTTTGACTTGTAGACCTTTTAAACTCGTGTCAAAGAGTGCTTCGTTTGATTTGGACATGTAGACCTTTTAAACTCCTGTCAAGGAGTGCTTCGTTTGATTTGGACATGTAGACCTTTTAAACTCGTGTCAAGGAGTGCTTCATTTGATTTGACTTGTCACATTGCATAGGATGTTGTTTCTTCAAAAGACTTGCCCCCATCCTCATAATCTTCTTGTTCTTCTTCAACATGTTCTTCTTTGAGCTGATACGACTTTTGGAATGGTGATTCTTCAATTTGATTTGCAAGTATGCTCAACTCCATATCATGTGCTCGAGTGGCCAACTCTTCAAAACTTTTAGGTTGAATTACTTGAAGGATATATCGGAGTCCCCATTGCATTTCTTGGATGCACAGTTCAATAGCTGATGTCTCAGACAGTCGATCCTTGCAATTAAGACTCAAGTTTCTCCAACGGTTGATGTAGTCGATGACAGGTTCCTTCTTCCATTGGCGGGAATTGGTGAGCTCAATCATGCTGACTGTTCTTCGAGTGCTGTAAAAGCGGTTGAGAAATTCTTCCTCTAAGTGCTTCCAACTATCGATGGAGTTTGCCCCCAAATCAATGTACCAATCAAACGCGTTGTCTTTGAGCGATCGGACGAATTGCTTGACGAGGTGATCTCCACACGTCCCGGCATCATTGCAAGTCTCGACGAAGTGTGCCACATGTTGCTTGGGGTTGCCTTTACCGTCAAATTGTTGAAACTTTGGAGGTATATAGCCCATTGGCATCCTTAGATCATCAATCATTTGCGTGTATGGCTTGACATAGGTTGATGGAGACTTCGAGCTTCCTTCCAACTTGTCTTTGATGGTTCCACTGATCAGCGTCATCACTTGATCTACATGAATCATCCCTTCTGGAGAAACTTGAAGTTCTTGAGCTAGAGCCTTCTCGTTTTCAACTGGTTGTTGCTTTGTGGATGTCTCGACTTCGTCTTGAACCTCTATCTGATTCTCCACAGCTTGACTAGCATCGGCTTTGTCCATCTTGTTGATCAACTCGGCAATTTGAGAATCTCGTTGTTGAACATGCTTTGCGAGTCCCTCAATGGCCTTTGTCAAACTTGCAATTTGCTCCTCCATGGTTGTAGCGTTTGTTGTCATGACGGATGCCACCTCTGAGTAGCTTGATGTTGAACGAGGCGTGGGCTGTGAAATCTCTCGTCTTGAACCTTCCACGTCTGCGCTTGTGTTGACAAGAGGTGGTAAGCAATTCTGAATGGTTTGAGGCGTCGAGTTAGTCTCCGAGGATGCTTGCAGCTTCTTAGATGAATCCGAAGAAGCAATCTTCATTGTGAACGTAGAGCAGTCACTGCAACACTTCGAGGATCTTCGAGAGAGAGAAGGGATGAGAGGTAGAGATGTCCCACCGGGCGTGCCAAAATTTGTAACAACAAATTCTTATCTGCGATTTAGGCAAACAAGAAAAACTTGCACAAAGATAATTTATTGAATTAAAATAAAATATTGCGGGTTACAAACTCTAATTTAATCCTCTGATTCTTCTCTCAAGAACGATATGCGTTTGACTTTGAATTTTGGAGACGAGTCGTTGACTTGATCTTCTCCGGATTTGATTTGGATTTGAATAACGTCTTCCGAGGGTCTTGCGACTTGAATCTCGGATCGAACGCTGAACTTTGACGGATTTTGACTTGAAGATCTTGGAGTTCTTGATGGATTTGGCCCTTCAATCTTCCTTCGATCTCGATTTGATGTTAATAACGTTAATTCGAGGGTTTAGCACCGTAATCTCGAATTAAACGCTTTAACGCCGTGATTTGATGAAGAACACCTTCGATTTGATGAACTCCTTCGATTTGATGAAGAACGCCTTGAATTTGATGAAGAACGACTTGAATATTGTAGAGAGAATTTTCTCCTACGGTTTTTCTTCTTCTTGAGTTGTCCTTTGAATTGTGTAGGGAGGGTCCCTATTTATAGTGGTAGAATAAGAGTCCTACTTAAAGTATGCTTGATGACGTGGCGCGATTTGATTGGCTCTCTTTAAATTGATATTTATCTCTTATAACTTGGAAGAGAAGAAATAATCCTATTGGCCAATAATTAATTGATAATTATCCCCATGACTTGTCTTGCAAGACAAGGTATAATTTAATTTAGACACAATTTAATTGGCTAATTTAATTAACCAATTAATTAATTTTATGCGTCTACAGACGTGTAAAAAGATTTATAGTTAAAGGGGTGGTTGTAATTACCCAAATAAATAGGAGGAGGGTTTGTAATATAACCATACCTCAGGGATGGTTGTAATTTACTCTTTTCTTAAATATAAATACCAACTACTATTACAATATAACGAATTAATGTTAAATATTAAACTAAATTTCCTCCATAAATTCCACTGTAAATATAATTTAAACTTTATAATAGTTTTTTATAGGAATTAACACCATAATATCAAACTCTATATAAGAATGTATGTTGGTTCATGTCAACCTCTAGTTTTATATTGTCTCCACCACTTACTGAAACTAATAGGTCTTTAGAACTCTATCGGAATAACGTGTCAAATGCATTATCCCGTTAGAGTTTCTAACAATGTTTAAGGAGGTGATTGTAATTACCGATACCACATGGACCTTAAAATTATTTAGCTTACCTCAGGGGTGTCGGTGTAATATACTCTAAATATAAAAGCCTGGAAGTAGTATAATATTTTTTATAAGAGAGTAAATAGAAGTTCTTGGAAAATGGAGTGCCAGTATTAGCATTATCCACAAGTACAAGGACTTTCAATTGTTGCCACACTTTCTCTCTCTTATTTTTTTCTTTGTGATATTTGCTACAATAGCAAAACGTCGTCGTTTTGGGAAACCCCTCATCTTATTTCTCTGTGAAGAAAGTGGAATCACAAGCAGACCAACAATGGAAGGGGGGATTCTAACGTTCACCGCTTCCTCATCGGCGCATCCCGCCGCTCTCCTCCGCCGCAGCGCCACCATCTTCACCCCACCGCGCGATAGTTTCCGCCAGTTTAGCACCACTAGCAAAATCAGTAACGGTAAAAAATCCAGCAGAAAAATCGGCAATTTTAGCGTGAAAGCGTCGAACAACAGTCTGTCGAGCAATTGGGAAGTGTCGAACTATGCAGCTCCGGCGTGGCTTCCGAGATTCGAGGAGCTCGACACCACCAACATGCTTCTTCGCCAGAGAATCATCTTTTTGGGCTCCCAGGTTTTCTTCCTCCTATAAAATTCCCAATTTTTTTGAAATTGATTTTGTATTTTCTGTTGGATAATAATCAATTCATTTCATTTCAGTAATTCACGAACAAAAAAAAATAAAAAATCGAGCTCAATTCCTGTTGTAATTGATTGTTTTGAGATGGTTATTAACTTGTTCTCTGTGGAAAATCAATTGTTGATGAACAGATAGATGACGTCACAGCTGATTTCGTCATAAGTCAGCTGTTATTGCTCGATTCCGAAAACCCTAAGAAAGACATCAAGTTGTTCATTAATTCGCCCGGTGGCTCCGTAACTGCCGGTGAGTCGACTTTCACCCCTGTTTAGCTGAGTTGCTTTGCGATTTTATATATATATATTGTGTGGAGAACTCTTGATTGTATATCGTTTGAAAAACCAAAAACGAATGGTGTATAAGATAGCGTTTTTACTTCATATTTGGATTTTATGAGCAAAGCTTATGATAATATTTCCAATCACTCAATTCGGGGGCAACATCTAGTATCTATCTTTCAAAAAATAGTTTGGAATCTTCAGATGCTTATTTTGAGAAATCGAAGCAGGTGTTAATCACTTCCTAATAATTACTGTTGTGCTTTTTGTACGGTATCGGATATGCATTTTGAGTTTAATGTTAAGCGTTATATTTGATCTCTACAAGAGACTTTTCACAATTGATCAAGAATAAAAACAATTTTACGGTCCAGAAAACACTAGTGATTTTTTGCTGGACGTAAATTTCTAGGATCTGCATGATGCCCTTTTAAAATGCAAATTTTATCGTCGTCTTCATTTGCAGAATATAAACTCGTTGCTTGTGCATTAATCTTTCTATACTTAAATCCGTTCAACTGCTCATCAATGTAGGAATGGGTATATACGATGCAATGAAAATGTGCAAGGCTGATGTGTCTACCATCTGTATGGGTCTCGCTGCATCGATGGGGGCTTTCCTTCTCGCCTCTGGTACTAAAGGGAAGAGGTTCTGTATGCCAAATGCTAGGGTGATGATTCATCAGCCACTTGGAACAGCTGGTGGAAAAGTGAGTGTTTATTTCTTGTCCTTTTTAGCATTTACAGTTCTTTCTATTTGTCGTACAGTTTTCCTAGTCATATAAAGAGAGTTACACTTTTATTTGTTAACGGGCCCCAGTGTATTTTTTCACCCAAATTCCCGGAAAGTAACTAATGAAACGATTTTGAGATTTTGTGTAATCGTGGAAGGATGAATGATTGTTCTGATTCAGCTATGTAACTGCATACTTGTATTACGTGTGAAGCTGTAGAGCAATACTTTGCTCCTTTTGGGGGGGGATTATATGTTTTTGCATCTCGTTTTGCATTGGCATATCCAACTGTTCGTCATAGTCTATAACACGAGCTGAATCGGGCGTAAATTCAGAATAGTTTTTATTTATACTAACTTTGCCAAAATCCTAATGCATCCTTTTCTTCGAACGAATATTATCCTGATAAGTGTTTCTCAGTCTGGATTCATCGTATTTCATTGCTTGCTCGTCTTTCCAGGCAACTGATATGAGTATCCGCATTAGAGAAATGGCTTATCACAAAGTTAAACTGAACAAGATACTATCAAGAGTCACTGGGAAGCCTGAAGAGCAGGTTGGTTGTCCAAATATATTATCTATTATTTATTTATTTATTTTTTCTTTCGGTCGTTAATCGTTTTTGGGTTTTCCATTCTATTGGGACATGTTTGATAATTTCAGATTGAACTGGATACTGACCGTGACAATTTTATGAACGCTTGGGAGGCAAAAGATTATGGATTGATTGATGTAGTAATCGACGATGGCAAGCCTGGATTAGTTGCACCAATTGGAGATAAGTCGGCCCCACCAAAAACCCGTGTTTGGGATCAATGGAAAATCGAAGGCAGTAGAAAAGCCAAGAAGAATTTACCTTCCGAAGATAAAATGTTACTAAATGGACAAAACGGAGGCACAGAACAGAAAGAAGAAGCACCGACTCCTATATGAGGCGAAGGTTTCAGATGTTTCATGTATACGATTTGTCACAATTTAGACAGACTTTCGGTTATTTTTCGTATTGTACCTCAATTGCTCTTGGCAACATCTGAATATAGAAGATAATCAGATATCAACGATCCAAAACGATAATATTGGCTGATTTTTTCGTCTTTTTTCGTTATGGCTTCAGGTTATATCTGTTTGTTAGTTCACTGTTGAAACAATCTTGTTTGTGCTGTATGCTTTCTCAACTATCATAGAAACGAAATTACTAGCGAAATATCTTCAATTTCGGAATCACTACAATAACTCAAAGATGACGAGTTAAGAGTAGGGTGGAAATATGACGGATCGTATCGAAATTAATGCTTTCGGAAATACTAAGAGTTTTTTTTAGAAGTGAAAAACTAATTCCAATTCTGTTCCAAAGAAAATGATTTTTTTTCGAAATCTGAATTTCGAAATTGGATTGAAAAAACTTGTTCCAAAATTGCAAATTTCGGTTTCGGATGGCAAGAATATTCCCATTTCCAGTTTTTAGTCACCTAAAACAAATAACTATTTCAAGATTACAAGTGTAAATTTTGGAAAAATTAGATTTTTCGGATCGAGAATAGAAATCTCATATTTGTTCTAATTCCAATCCATAAATTTTCGGTGAAATCGGATATCGGAATTCCCGAATTCGGAATAAAAATTATTGTTCCATGATATAAAAAAAAATTTGATCAAAATCGGCGGAAACCGGAAATTTCATTCAAATTCCCACCCCCTGTTAAAATTTTAAAATTCATTGTAATATGAACTTATCCAAACAATGTTCGATATATCCGCTGTTATATCTGAATTTGAAATCCAAAAACACTCTATACGACCATCAAAGAGGCAGATCGAAAACACGAACATCGGGTCGCAGACGAAAACTCCCATATCATTAAACAAGGCAAAATGCATGGTATTTCAAAATGGCTAAATAAATACACAACCAAATAACATTATCTGCTATACAAATTGTCTGCTGGTACAATAAAAATCTCACCCCCAAACTATCTTACACTTCCATAGACATTATATTCAAAGTTGTAAGAAAAACAATTATAAAATAAGTCATCTATCAATAAATAATCCTTCACGTTCCTTTATTTTATTCGGAAACCTCGATGCTGAGGTGGCGCGAAATCCAGATTCCTCATATGGAGTGAACTGAATCACCGTCACTGCTTTCACTGTCACTACTACTGCTACTCCCACTACCACTTCCGCTACTCTCACTACCGCTGCTACTGCTACTGCTCGAAGTCTGCCCGTCTTTCACTTGCGCGTTCACCTGAGCTCTGAGCGCCTCCGCAGCATTCGGCCCCTTCTCCGCCTCGTCATCGCTCGCATCGATTTCCGCAATCTCGTCATCCGTGTCATTCTGGAGCGGCAAATTGTTGATATCGAATTCAACTTCTTTCACTTGTGGAACAGCGCCTAAATCAGCCACCGCCGCCGCCGCTGTGGTGGTGCCGCCATCTTCTTCGTCGGCACTCATTATATCCAAATGCTCCTCCAGGTCGTCGAAGTTGAGGTCCGCCGGAGATGGATTCGGTGAGGTGGATTGTGGTGCAGGGTATTCGATGCTCTTCTCTCGTCTAGGTTTTGGTTCTGACACAAAGTTAAAAGGAATTAGGAACTATATTATATGCAAGATAATTGTAATATTGTTCAGATAGCATATGTTAGTGCTGCACATAGGATAACCGGCACTCTGGACAGGTAGCAAAATTCAAGATTGTAAGCCCAGATGAAGATAACTTCTTTATAGTACTAAAGATAGTCACGAAAAAAAAAAACGATTGATTCTTTTTCAATAACGTAATTACTGTTTTACGAGAGCATAGCTGGCTTGGCTCGTGAAAGTGAGGATTATAAAGAATCACAGTTGTAGGTGTAAACACAGGAAACAATCAACTAATACAACTGGATGTAAACTGTTTATTGTTGTAAGTAGGGCGCGTAATGAAATTCATACCTGGGCTTTTGATTTCTCCGATCTCGATTCTTTCAACTTCAACCTGCACGAGTTTGTAAAATAAAACGTTCGCTTATTAGTACAACAGCAAAAAAAAACAATCATTACCAATTATTTCCAAAGAGACCTCACATACAATCACAATACGACTCTTTCTTCTATACATTCTTTGCATTTTAGATAAAGCAAACACGCACCAAAAATAGATCACCGAAAAAGTGAAAAAATCAATTCGTGTTTTGAAGCACAAAACAATATGAAATTCAGCCAAAGTAATCAACATTCAATATACTTTAATCTACCCATTTCCTTCCAAGAAACCGAAACCGAAACACGCGAACAAGAAAAAGAATTCAAAAGTAGTTCAAAGAAAGAAAAAACCCACAGGCAGCGAATGAACCGTGTCTTTGTACGAAGGGTGATTATTATTCTTAACCCCTCTCCCGATTGGCGGTGAGCTTGGATCAGAAACTCCAGCATATCCAGCTGCTGAACCTGTGGTGGATTCACCGAGGGTTCTCTTATGCCTTAACCGTTTAACAGCACGATGCAAACGCTCCAACCGAAAAGAAACCCCGTCGAAGAAAAGAACAGCGTCGTTTTCCTTGTAATCCTCACTCGAGCCTTCGAAGGACACTTTGGGCTTTCCGGGCTGTATGTTTTGGAACTCGACAGCAACTTTATTGTCCTTGCTCTTGTGGAATGTACCGCGCTGGTTCTTGTCGATTGAAGCTGGCTTGAACTCATCTGATAAAGGGAAAGAAACAATTCATAAAAACCAAATATACAACTTCAAAATGTTGCATCAAAAAAAAAAAAAAAAAAGCAATCTTTAAGACAATTATAATAAGGCAAGCAAAATAAGTGCATTTTTTTTTTCCATAATCAATACTTGCAGAATATGCAGTTAGCAATTAAAAATAAAATAAAATTGGAGAATTAGAACTTCACCAGTTAAATTAACACATGAATAAACACAATTACTGAATCAAGAATCAACGGAATTCGAATTCGAATGCGAAATCGTGAAAGAGAAAGTGAGCGTACAGCGTAAGGTGCAGAATTTGGAGGGATTGTGATCCTTGAACGACGACCCTAGGGTTAGGTTGTACCATTGATCGGCTTGCGGCGCCGTGTTCGGCTCATCGGAATTGTTCATTCCTGCCATTGTTTTTTTCAATATCAATTCTGATTACAAATTTGCTGCAAATGTCAGACCTAGGGATTTTTCTGCTTGAAGCGCTTTGGGGAGGACGAGAAACAGAGACGAGGGTATTCTCGTCTTTTCATCGCTGTCGGAGTTTGCTCCAATCAGAATTAACCTATCAATTTTGAAAGACTTTTGTGAGAAAGCCCAAATTAATAATAAATCATAAGCCCACATTGCCTATCTAGTCTATTAATCCAATAACCTATTTATCATTTATTTGAAAATAAATAAATTTATTTGCTTTCATGTTAGTAAAGAAGGCAAATTTTTATTTTTGTGTATAGTTTACTAGAGGGTTGGTACATGGTTGCGTGAATCGATTACCGTCTTAAAAATCAACTTGTCCGATAAATCAATTTAGCTCAAATTGGAAAACCATTGCCGACCTAACTTTTAAGAGTCGATTGATGGTTGACAACCGAATATTTAATTTTGAAATGAGTCGGTTGATGAATACACCAGCCAGTTCACTTCAAAAAATTCAAAATTTTACAACAAAAGTATGCCCATTCTTCTTAGTGCTACTGCACCATCATTATTTATTTGATTTCATGTTAATAAATAAGGCAAATTTTCATTTTTGTGTATTGTTTAATCTATGGTTGGGATTGAATTGAGTCGATCGATTACCGTCCTAAAAATCAATTAATCCAACAAACCAATTTAGTTCAGATTTAAAAACCATTGGCGACTCAACATTTGAAAGTCGGTTGATGGTTGACAACCGAATATTTGGTTCCGAAATAGGTCGATTGACGGTCATATCTGCATGTTCACTTAAAAAAATTCATTTTTTTGAGTAAAAGTATGCACATTCATTTTTAGTGCTACTATACCATCATCATTTATCACTTCAACATAAATAACAACAATGCAACAAAAAGTACAGTTTTGAGATTCAAACTAATTACATATTGATAGAATTTATTTCGTGCAGATATAAATTATTTGTGTCAGATTCAGTTTTTCGTTACTGTTGCGTGAAGAGTTGCAACAGTTCGTGAAGCAGTTCGTAAAAACAGAAATAAACGAGACACAAATTTTAATGTGGTTCGGATACAATTGTACCCTACATCCACGGGGACCTGCAAATAAAATTTACTAATTTTTAGTTTTACGAATACAATAATAGGACTTAATCGAAATACAAAGACTCCCTCTTTGTCGACGCCGTTCTTGTATACTACGCTGAATTATAAATCTTCAATTTGCAGCACGTCCCTTGCTCCGCACGGTTGAACTCCCTTCAACGCTGAATCCCTCAGTCGGCGGATCGATCTCCTCCCGAGATCTGTTTAAGCCCCTCTCCCGAAGAACCGATCTTCTTTTTGTATAGAAGAAGCAAACTTGTGATACTCCTTGAATCTTGGTGTCTTCACCACAAAGCCTTGAAGCCGATATATTTTCTATGAAAATCACGTATCACAATGGAGCAATAAAAACGAGAGGAAAAAATATTTTCTCTTGAACTTCTCTCGATAAAAAGAATACACTAAACTACGTTCATGCTCATTCTTTTATAGTCTGGGAAAACTCCTGTATTAGGTTACACAAAGTTAGAGACGTAGAAGGAATTATCTTTTTAAAAGATATGGAATAAGAAGAGTCCATGCCTTATTAAAATATTGCCATCCTAATCTAATGGAAATTCCCATGCAAACATACAACCAATTAATGACAATAAAATATAAAAGATAATTAAGAAAATCTTTTACTTCTTGAAAAATCATACGCACACACAATGACTATTGGATAGTTTTGATGCACATAAACTCTTTTTGATTAATAAAATAGTTTCCTATATAAAAGAAACAATTAATGACAAATTAAAGAATTTAAGTAAACAAGGAGACTTCCCTTTTGTGTTTCACGGTACACATGACTTGTTGCACAAGTCTTTACTCATCCCTTGTTTATTAGGATCCAATTAGATTCTAACAATCTCCCCCTTTGTCATTGATTGATTCTAATCATTTTCTCCCCCTGAATAAAATGCCTGAAAATAAAATAATAGAGGATATAAGGAAACAATAAAACTAAAGATCATCCTCAGCATCAAAAGAACAGTTCATCATCATAATCTCTTTCAACAACAAAAGTGGCATGAACTGCTGCAATAGCAAGTGCCACAGTTTCAGCAACTGTTCCAGCAGTAGTGGCTTCGGGCAGGTGGTTCATAATGGAGTCAGCTCCCCCTGCATGTGCTTCCCCCTCTGTAAATGATCCTTAGGCATCTCCTCTTGTAAATGACTTCATTCTTCCCCTTTGCTTACATGGCTTGGTAGACTTGGAGGGCAGTGGAGGGCGACGTGGTAAATCATCCACGTGATAAAACACTCAGCAAATAACGTCAGCATTAGCTCCTCCTTTTATATTCTTGTGAAGACCTAAACCAATTAATGACAATAAACACAATATTAAAAATGTGAAATTCCTTCTATATTGGAGATACACGTTCAGGTGATTAATATGGGGAGATGATTTATTTCTTCTCCAGTTATCTAATGAGATAACTAAGGAAAAAGTGTTTCTCAATTTGATACACATCTCCATAGAATTCCACTTGATGTTGTGGACTTAGAATCCCACCGAGATTCTAACACTCTCCCCCTTTGGCATTGATTGGTCAGAATATTTACTCCCCCTAAATATATGATACCTGCATGAACACGGGTTAGCAAATTCAGAATAACATCTGCACATATAAACTGTTGCAACAGTTTATCAAACAGTTCAGCCGATAGTGTAGACTGTAAATAAACCACAGTTCCAAAATTAAATCAGATAATTCATTCAGATAAGCACGAGATAAAAGGATATGCGGTAGCAGGAACAACATCTCTTCACAATGCTCATTATTTATCCTGTATTTCTGCACTATTCTAGCAACTGTATGATGCATTGTCTCAACAGTTGTCTGAACTCCCCCTGCATTCCTGCACTGTTCCAGCAACTGTCTGATGCACTCAACATGGTGCACGTAGATGTTCAAACACTTAACAAAAAGATCTTGATGATTCGAGCAAGCTGTTCAAACACTTAACAAAAAGATCAAACGTAGAGAGAATTTTGAAAGTAAGTGAGAAGAATCAACATACATAACATGCACACAAAATCACAAACTCACAACTCAATACCACACGATAATTGCAATGCGAAAATCAAAGGATAGTGATATCAAATCCAACATTAAATAACAAAGACTACAGACTTTGCCAAACTTCCTAAGAAACGTGGAGATGAGAGGAGTAAACTCAATAGATCCGGCTGCAACAAAAAATTAAATTTAACCGGCACATAAACAAAAATCCCGTCTCTCTTTTTTTTTTTTTTTTTTTTTTTTTTTTTTTTTTAAATAATGCCTAATGCAAGACAAGAAGTAAACATGAGAAATAAACATGAGTGAAGAGACATATGTGAATAGGATACTGCATGGACAAACAAAACATATGGGATTTATCTTCACATTCACGATAAGCGCAATCCCCAAAAATCCGACCGCCAATGCAACCAATAAACTTAATAATCCCAAGTCAAACACAAAGATGCTCTTATTAGGTAGCGTACACACACGTCTAATGGTAGCTTTTTCCCATGAAAAACAGAGCAATTAAAAGGAATGGGATTATGGTGGTCGTGCAATGTGTAGTCCCCTGGGCTTTCTAATTGAGCCTTGTAGTGAGTGTTCGGTCAAGTGGTTTACTGGCTCGACTCAACTAGGCTTCGAACTATTCACTGACCATATGTATAATTTATATTGGCCGTGCAATGTGTAGTCCCCTGGGCTTTCTAATTGAGCCATGTAGCGAGCTTTCGGCCACGTGATTTACTGACTCGACTCAAAAAGGCTTCGAAGTATTCACTGACCGAATGGTTGTAGATATATATATTAGTAACAGTAGTTCAAGAGTAGCTTTCACTCATTAAAAGAGGCAGCTTTTCCCTATAAAAACATCCAACCATGACAAGACTATTCAGAGAAATAAATAAGTTGGAGCCTTTTAAGTAATCATTTTGGGAATTGGTGAAGTTCTACCCCCACAAAGTTTAGAAGAACACGAAGTATCAAATTCACATTTGTCTCAATCATATGCAGTATGCTTAATGCAGTTCCTATATGAGATGCAAAAACATATGAAGTGTCCTACCACTAAAAGTTGCAAGTCTGGACACACAGACTGTTGCAACAGTTCATGCAACTGCATCAGATTAAACAACATAAATTCCCAGCGATTTTCGCAAGGAATCAAATCTCTGTGCATCAAGGGTTTTTGCAAAAGCATCAGTTAATTCATTCTCCGTTGCAACATAATCAATTGAGACAACCCCCTTTTCAACCAAGCCCCTTATGAAATGATGACAAATATCAGTAAGCTTAGTTCTTGAATGCTGAATAAGATTCATCGAATTATTTTTCGCACTCAAATTATCAAAATTCAGAAGATCAAGTTTCTTATGCCCCAATCCAATTTTGTCAACAGAACTGTTGGAACAGTTAGTACTATCATCACACGATTTTAAAGAAGTAATGGCAGGTAAACAATTAATATCAGACTTCTTTACCCAGATTTTTTGTTGAGTTTTATTCACTAAATCAACCTTTATCTTGGGTTTTTGAGACGACACAAAAGTGTGATCAATTTTAGCGGAAAGTGGTGAGCAGACCATTATTCTTTTAACCATTTTCAAGTACTTAAAACATCTGGGTCGTATATGACCAGCAACATGACAAAAATGACAAATAGGCACAAAACGTTTTCTTTGAAATGATTGTTTTGGCGCAACTGTCGCAACAGTCTGTGAAACAGTGCATTGTTTAACAAAATTGATTTTTCCTATTGGATCTTCTTTCTGTTTCAAAGCATCATCAGATAGTTTATTACCCCTTACACCTAGATGACCATAGTTCGGCTGATTCGTTCTCAAAATTTCATTCAGATTTACCCTACCTGTATTTAATTTAGAAATAGAATCTTGGGTTTTAGCAAATTTAGCCTTCAAACTATCAGTTTCTCTACTAGCAGAAATAGCATTTTGTTCAAGAGTAGAAATTCTTACCTTCAACACTTTGTTTTCCTGAATTAGAACAAGCTTCTCTTTTTCTAAGAATTTATTCGACTCGCATACCTGAAGAAATTTTTCGTACATCCTTTCGTAGCTCGTCATTAATTCTTTCAAGGTTGCCTCGTCATCATCGCTGTTGTTTTCTGAATCCCCATCGTCACCTGCAAGATTTAACGGAGTTAATCTTTTATCAGGTATTGAGTGCAACTTATCATACCTAAGTTCTGTCTGAACAGTCTGTCCAACTGTTGCAACTGTTTCAGCGACAGTCTGTTTGCACTCGCTTATCTGAGTAGTTCCTTCGTAGGCCTCTTGTAGAACATCCCATGCCTCCTTTGCTGATTTGCACATTGATATCAATTTGAATTGGTCTTCATCGATACAACTCAAGATAGCATTGGTTGCCTTGGAATTATAATCTGCTTTTCGTACTTCTTCATCACTCCACTTCTCTTTTGGCGTTTGAATGATCTCGTGTGACTCATTCATTGAGGTAGGAGGTGTCCAACCAATTAGAATCGCGCGCCAGGCCCATTCATCAATAGATTTGATGAACATCTTCATCCTTATTTTCCAATCAGAGTAGTTTAATTCACCCAAGAGAGGTGGTAGGAATGCGCCTTCACGATGATTATTCATGTCTGCACAAAAAAAATAAAAAATAATTAAATCCCAAAATCTCACTAAGTATATCTAGTGACAGGCTCTTGATGCCAATTGATGGAATTTATTTCGTGCAGATATAAATTATTTGTGTCAGATTCAGTTTTTCGTTACTGTTGCGTGAAGAGTTGCAACAGTTCGTGAAGCAGTTCGTAAAAACAGAAATAAACGAGACACAAATTTTAATGTGGTTCGGATACAATTGTACCCTACATCCACGGGGACCTGCAAATAAAATTTACTAATTTTTAGTTTTACGAATACAATAATAGGACTTAATCGAAATACAAAGACTCCCTCTTTGTCGACGCCGTTCTTGTATACTACGCTGAATTATAAATCTTCAATTTGCAGCACGTCCCTTGCTCCGCACGGTTGAACTCCCTTCAACGCTGAATCCCTCAGTCGGCGGATCGATCTCCTCCCGAGATCTGTTTAAGCCCCTCTCCCGAAGAACCGATCTTCTTTTTGTATAGAAGAAGCAAACTTGTGATACTCCTTGAATCTTGGTGTCTTCACCACAAAGCCTTGAAGCCGATATATTTTCTATGAAAATCACGTATCACAATGGAGCAATAAAAACGAGAGGAAAAAATATTTTCTCTTGAACTTCTCTCGATAAAAAGAATACACTAAACTACGTTCATGCTCATTCTTTTATAGTCTGGGAAAACTCCTGTATTAGGTTACACAAAGTTAGAGACGTAGAAGGAATTATCTTTTTAAAAGATATGGAATAAGAAGAGTCCATGCCTTATTAAAATATTGCCATCCTAATCTAATGGAAATTCCCATGCAAACATACAACCAATTAATGACAATAAAATATAAAAGATAATTAAGAAAATCTTTTACTTCTTGAAAAATCATACGCACACACAATGACTATTGGATAGTTTTGATGCACATAAACTCTTTTTGATTAATAAAATAGTTTCCTATATAAAAGAAACAATTAATGACAAATTAAAGAATTTAAGTAAACAAGGAGACTTCCCTTTTGTGTTTCACGGTACACATGACTTGTTGCACAAGTCTTTACTCATCCCTTGTTTATTAGGATCTAATTAGATTCTAACAACATACATGCACATTCTGCCATAACGTCACAATATTATAATCACTCGTCAGCTCATAACAATTAAAAGCTGTTCAAGAATATGCAAAATCGAAAAAATAGCAAGAAATACTTTCACGCTAACTTATATCAAATCATTTTTCCTTGTTCATTTGTTTTAATTTAAAATAAATAACAATTTTGATAATTTACCACATACAAAAAATTAGGAATATCTAAAATAAAACTAACCTTGAACAAAATTGAGACAATCTGTTGTTACCGTTAACTAACGGTCCGTCACCTGTGTCTATTCATTGCTTCTGTCCCAAATCCCTTACCAAAATTGGGGGAAAAAAGCCCTAATGGCTGCCCAATTACTATGTACGAATTCATCTTCTTCAATCCACAATTCGTCGCTAATTTGCAAAAATGCAGATGAATTCGTTCGATTTCCTCAATTAATTCGATGCTCGCGACCCCATAATTCGGTGAAACAGAGCTTAGTGAGGAAAGCATCATCGACAATCCAATGTTCAGAAAAGCAAACTCAAATTCAAACTGAAACCCCTCATCGCACGTGCAAGAATTGCAAAACCCAGTTCGATCCTTCGCTGAATCACCCACGTGCTTGCCGTTATCACACTGCTCATTATGGAGGTAATTCCGTTTATCCAAATTTCTCTCCTTTTTTTTTTTTGGTTTTGGTATTTAAATTGTTTAGATGCAGTTATGATATATATTATTATATATTTTTTGAAATGTTTGTTTTATTGGTGATTGATTTGTGTACGTGATTTTGAAGTCCAAATATAGGAGTGCAATGATTTTATTTTTTTGTTCTTGTTTTTATAGAGGATGTAACCGATGAACTAATAAACTAAAATCATTTTCAGTTGAATACGAATGTTCGAGCGTGTAACGATGCGAAGAAGAAAGGTGGGGTAAAGATAGTGCTATGTATGTATGTATATTGATGTGCTAATTTACCCAAAAAATGCAGTTTCTGAATGTATCCTGCTTGTATGTATGTGTGTATGCATGTATGTATATATGTATAAGCGATCGTGTTAAATTAGGCAAAAAAAAAAAAAATGCATCGAAACAATAATCTTATGCGTTGGTGGGTTCACACATACGAGATTTTTTTTCTTTTTCTTTTAATATTTATATGTGACTTTCTAAGTTGTCAATATTCTGACTGAGTTAACCCTCTGGCAATATTGCTAATTCTTTGTAAAAGCCTAAGGCCTCGTTTGGTTGGGGAGATTAGCTATTATTAAATAATAACTGGACTTTGTTCGATGTTTGGTATCCCCAATACTTTGTTGGGTCTGCCCGCAAATATTATGTTATCGTGGCTTATCTTGCCTTTTTGTTGGATGTCCCGGGGTCTGATAAAATAATTGGGTTTTCATTAGATTATTTAATCTTATCCTGGCAACCAAACGAGGCCTAAGGAGTTTGTTTTCCTCTGTCCTCTAGTTGGTGTATTTTCTTTCCGTTTCTAAAGTGAGAGGCTTTTTTTTAGTACCTAATATTTAGTGTAAGGTTTAAATTTATATATTTATTTTTTTCTCAGGAGAAACGAGGAGAAAATTCGAGAGTGTATATACAGGTGGCACAATGAACACCCCCGGCTCTGGAAAAGTTGTACAATACTGGCATTGTTGTGGCTCCGAAGATCCCTTTGATCCCGGATGCACTGCAGCCCCTCACTCTTCGTACGATGACTGATATATATATATATATATATATATATATATATATATATATATATATATACATGGTGATTCTTCATCTTTTTCTCTCTTGTAACGGAAGTTACTGCCCGTTTTTTTTTTCTGTAGCTCGTATTCTTGAAAATGTAAAGCTATATACCTTTTTTCCAATGTGTCTCTACATGTTTGGGTTCTTCTCGCTTTGGTTCGGATTGTCGGATTATACTTGTCATGTGATTAGTGGTTCGTCTAATTACGTTTTAGTTGATATCTCGATTTTTCTTGAAGTTGCTGATGCCGGACATTATTTTGAAATTCAGACATTCCCTTTTGATGTAGTAGCATTGTTGTTGTTTTTTTGGATAAATTACAATCACCCCCTTGAGGTATGGTCAAGTTACGAAAAAACCCCTCATGTTTGGATAATTACATCTACCCCTCAATTGTGAATCTTTTTACATGTCGACCCTTATGGTGATTAATTCAACATAATCTTCTAAATTCCGTGGAATGTTCTCTAGTTTGTACTTGTTTTGTGTAAAAATGCAGTTTCTGATGCACCACAATCCGATATATCCAAGTTAAAAAAACACACCTTATGATCATCTAGATTCAAAATATGGAGTTCGAATGGGATAGAGCGGGTACAAAATTGAGAATATTACATATGATCTAGAAGATTCTACTAGTTTAATACTAGAAGGGTGGACGTGTAAGAAGATTTATAGTTAAGGGGTGGTTGTAAACTTGTAACTATTCAAATATGAAGCGTTTTTTTCGTAATTTCTCAATATTTTAGGTGTGGTTGTAATTTAACTTTTTTTTTTCTTCTCCCTTCTCCCTTGCTCTAGGCACAACCAATTATGTGTAGGAATAATTATGTATTTTGTCTCCTACTTAAGGTAGTAAAATCGGATTAGGTAAATAGCATGGTGTGATTACCAAAGCAGTAATCCCAAGCCAAGAACCAATAATGGAGTGACACGTAAACCAATTACTTGTAGAATTGGTTAGGACTACGCAATTGTTGCTTGAGGGGATCAACCAAATTAACTGGATGATGTTTGATTTTTGTTATTTGAAGTCTATTTTTGTATGATTTCATTTTATTTGATAAACAAAATACATAAATTATTTGGATAAATAATATTTTTATCATCTTGTTGTAGACAAGTTGGCACAAGGGGTGGGTGCGGAAATTCTATGCCGCACTCGCTTATTAACTATTAATCATAGTTCTACACATAATTACACTGTTAACCCAGTGTAGCATATATAAATTATTTACCAATTTAATTCAAATAAATTCATTTTATCCGATTAATTGAATTGATAAAAATAAATAAATAATTTTATGTTCTCACATTAGGACTGTGGGTAAATGGGTGCTTCACGTAAACAAATTCTTTGCTGCAACTTAAGAGTTTCATCATCTTTTTTTTTTTTTTTCCACTTTAGTAATTATTACAACATATATATATGTGCAAAAAGTTCCTTAAAAGCAACTTCACAACTGCATTTGTTTCAAAACTGCATTCATTACAACCTTTGCCTGTACGTATTTCCAATTCATTACAACCTTATTATATATATATATATATATATATATATATATATATATATATATATATATATATATATATATATATATATAAACCCCAACCCACATTCTTGCATTTACTTTCTTTTGCATGCAAAATCAAAAGAGACAAATCTAATTTTTAAAATGGAAGCTGTTTCCTTTTCATCTTCTTATAACCCTAAATTACCCCTCAGCCAGTGGTTTTCAACAAAACCCTCTTCCCACAACAGAAATAACTACCGGTTCACCACGACCCGAAAACTTATTCTAAACGCAAACAAAGACGACCATAGTAACGAAGCTGGAGAATCGCTCGATGACAAGAAACCGATCACTTTGAGAATCAATATCAAGAAAACGAAGGAGGCAATTAATTATATCACCAAGAACAACAAGGATCTGCCGCGGGGCGGCGGCCCACCACCGTCGGAAAAAATAATTAGCCGATACGATAATAATGAAAAAGATGCTCTCGAGGCCGTTGAATTTTTGAGGTCTTATTTCGTGAAGAATACGAAGCCAAGTGCGGCGGCGATCGGGGTGGTGCTAATTGCTTCGTTTGCAATAATTATGAGTACTATTCCGATATTTTCTCACGAATCAGTTTTCTTGGAGAATTTATTGAAGCTTACCAAGGGTTTCCTGCAGGCTGGTTTTCATGTTTATATAGATATTGATTTCTAGCTAGGCTATTTAATTAGTTGAATAAATATATTGTTGTGCTTTAATATACATGATTGCCCTTTTATTTTATTGTATTGGGAGAAATGGCTAAAGTTAGATATATACTGGATCGATTAGATGTTATATCTGGTGAAGTAGTGCATTCAGTATATACAATACTTATTAATTGTCGGTATTTACGTATTATATCCCATTCTGTTCTGTGAGATTTGAAAAAATGACCATCGATATATATCTCGGTGGGTCCATAGCCGTTTTGTGTGTCCCTCTGAAATACGAGGCATATGAGGAAGCCACTACAAAGAGTTGAACCCCTATATATATCGCTAGCTAGTTTTTTCCTCGATAGCTCAACTGTAGAGTTGTCGACTGTTAATCGATTCGTCGTAGACCCATATTTGAGCAAAAAAGTTATGTCACTAATTCAATATAGTGAGAGCAAAATAAATATGAGTTATAGAACACACAAATATTGTTGTCACCTAGAATAATTTTTTGAAGATAATTATTAATTTCTTGTTATTATGTCACGATAGTACATACTACTTTCGATTGTATACATATTTTACAATCAATTAATATATAAATAGACATATCTAACAACCTTTTTGATGAGTTGGCTTTATGTTTTATATATAACAAAATCATTGGAGAGAATAGATTGTGTGTTCAATAATGGCGATGATGTGTCATGAGATGTCATTTTAACACGCGAATCATCATTTTGTCCAACGGCTCATAAAAAAAACGGGTTCATTTGATGCTGCACAGTTCACGAGGTGATTTTTAACCGTTGATACGGTGAAATAGTTTTTTACTAAACACACATATAGATAGGTGTGCATGCTGTGTGTTATACATACAGATCAATGGTTAATAATCATCCCAGTATATTTCATCGGGTGTGTTTTCATGCTGGTGATTATTAACCGTTGATAATCACACACACACACATACACACCCATGTGTATGCGTGTTTAACGGGAAGTTATTTCACTACATCAAGTACAGTGAAAAATCACCCAATATATTTCACCTGATGTAACATCTCAATGACCTAAAAAGACGCCGGTAACATTCAAACTATAATTTGATATTTCCTCAGGGCGTGACCGTATTTTGCCCTATAATTTTAAACAGTTTTTCTAACTATCAACAAACTTAAGATTAAAATTTGAGGTATTTAAAAAAAAAAATAGTACAAACTATATAAATTAATTATATGAAAATAATTTGATTGACAAATTTCTTAAAGGAAAATTTCTCTCCACTTTTTGGTATGGGCGAAGAAAAGCGGACGCACATCTATGAGTTTTATTGACACAGAGAGGGTATGTAATGTATACGTATAGTACTCATGTGTATGTATATACGTGAGATAGAGAGAGAGAAAAATAACTAGAGAGAGAAAATAGTAGTTGAAGTTGAAGGAAGAAGAATAATAGTAAGTAGCTTTCCTTGTGCTGCAGAAAATTCCAATCACATTTCTTGTAAGCTTTCTTTGCTTCATATTCTTTCTTCATTTTTCATTCTTCATCTTTTTGTAATTAATTATTCCTTGTAAACAAATATTAGCTTTCTCACATATTTAGAAAGAAAAAGAAAAAAAGGTCACCTTTTTTACATTCCTGCATACATTTCTTCAATGTTTAACCATGCATCACTTTATTCTCTATCTCTGTTTTCTCGAACGATTTCGAAGTTGTATCGTCTTCGTCAATTAGTTGAGTACAATTTCATTTTTCATATGATTTTTGTTTGTTATATTTGTAAACTGCATATATGTATATATAATTAATTTTTTTTGTTTGGTTTGAGTTGAATTTATATGTTAATTGCAGGGTTGATTGGGATTGCTATCAACACTCAACTCAAAGAATCCATTGTACAAAAGATTTATCCTAGGCATGTTTATTAATTACTTACTCCCTTTTAGAAAATTAAAAAATTGAGGGCTTATGTATTTTTAGGATAAATTGCTTACCGAATCCAATTTGGAAGCTGCAATCGAGAGTATAAACCGGTTGAAAGAATAACTTTTCGTCTGTTTCCAAACAGGTGACAACTAGTTTTTTTTTATTTCAATAGGATGGATACAAATAATGTACTAAGATCATCAAATCCTAGGACGATGATATCGTCAGAGTGTAAGATTTGCCACGACGAAGATCAAGAATCGAACATGGAGGCACCGTGTTCTTGTCGTGGAAGTTTAGAGGTTAGTAGTTACTCGATTTATTACTGGAATTTTTTATTTTATTTTTATAAATTGATATTTTCTCTCTCACATAAAAAAATGTCAAAATAATGTCTATTTTTGGTGTTTAATTTCCTTGTGTTTTTAGTATGCTCACCGTAAGTGTGTGCAAAGGTGGTGCGACGAGAAAGGCGATATTATATGCGAGATTTGTCAACAGGTTTTGCTTACGTGTGGCATTATAAATTGGAACCTTATATTATGAGCAATTTTATTAAATCATTTTTTTTCTATACTCGATGTGAGGTTTGCAGCAGTTCGAGCCAGGTTATACAGCACGGCGTCCTTTGTTTCATTGTGGTGGCGTTCCGATGAATTTCAGGTGCCTTTCGTAATAAATCTTTATCTCGATTTTAGTGACGACTATTGCTAATTAATCCCTGATTTATTTGATATTTATCAGGGGCGATTGGGGGATTATTTCAACAAGTGATCTGCGTGATTCTCGACTAACATCGACCGATTTCACAGATGATGATTTCACGGATCCAAACTTTGACGAGTACCCGATGCCCAGTTCAAGAACCCTCATATGTTGCCGTGTAGTTGCTTTCACTGTATTACTCTCTCTCTCTCTCTCTCTCTCTCTCTCTCTCTCTCTCTCTCTCTCTCTCTCTCTCTCTCTCTCTCTCTCTCTATATATATATATATATATATATCATGTGTTCGATTATTTCGCAGTTTGTGATTCTTCTGTTTCTTCGCCATACCCTACCATTCGTCTTATACGATGACGGCGAATACTCGATTTCATTGTTCATGGTGAGTAAATTACACTACCAAAATTATCTGAGAATATATTGAGCAATAATGCATCAATTGTTTCTTCGTTTTTTTTTTCGATATTGCAGTTACTGATGTTGCGAACAATTGGAATTCTTGTGCCGGCATATATAACGGTGAAAGCGTTAAAGGCGATACGACGTATGCGAAACCAACAGGTACTTAACTTGATTGCTAAAAACATGGCAAAATAAGTTCATAATATGCTCTCTTTTTTTTAAATGGTAGGTTTCTCCCACCATTTTCCCTATTGCTTCTTTCGACGAAGAGAACGAGTCACGACGACATCATCAAGAGTCGCATTTCATTCACCTCCCGTAACTGTGACGTGTGAATACAAAGAATCACGGTTTTATGTACCTCGTTGTAAATATCGAATAACAAGAAAAGACGCAAGGCATACTTTGCCGTACTAGGATTACAAATGGACGTATCATATCGAAAATAGCATTATCGGAGAAAAGAAAAGGATGGAAAAAATCGATAATCGAAATTATTTCGATTAAAATTTACAAAATTCAAAAATCATGTTTCTTTGTAACATAGTTCCAATTTCGAACCAACATATGCAGGAGACAGAGCAAAGCAGAAGAAATTCAAACCAATCTATGCAGAAGACATAGCAAATAGATTCGATTATTACACAATAACCATAAAAGAACACGAAAAACATAATTATTCCGATTATTTAGGAAACACAACCATCACATAGGCCACAAACCAAACACCACAAACCCAAACAAATAAACGACAGACAAAAATAAAAACCGAAAAAAAACAGACATAGACCAAAAAAATGTCTCGGATCGAATAGAAAAACAACGCCACCAAACAAAATTATTTTATTCCTCGTCACTCTCTGACTCAGCGCTTCTCAGCCAATCAACAAATGGCTCGGCATTTTTCCAGACAGAAGACGACTTGTTACTCCCAGCCAATCCCTCTTGATACCACTGCACAATGTTTTCTTCCTCGAGCACATCTCCATCGTACAGAGCTTTCAAAACGAGCGCCACTTCCTTAACCGCAAACCCATTCGTCTTCTTACAAAACTCCTCAATCGCTCTAAGCAAAAGCAACTGCGAATCTTCACCCTCAGAAACAGCAGCCGCAAAATACCCCTTCTTTTTCATAACCTCCTTCGAGAAACCCTTTTCGACACCACATGCAACAGCCTCGTAAAGAGCGTTCATCACCTCTTGTGCAGTACCCGAAAGCGACCCTAAAAACGACCGAAACTCATTTGCTTTAATACCCGTTTTAATATTTTCTTTAATCTCGTCGACGAGCTTCATGTGAGGTGTCTTCCCATTCTCGGTTGCCTTCGGCTTTTTCTCTTTCTCTTTCTCTTCGGTGGAAATCATAACCATGCTCGCAGTAACAGCGTTGAGCTGCTCCTGTATGCTCTGTCGAGCAGCTTCTAATGAAGTGTCGGTTTGCCACTGAATATCATCATCGTCATCATCTTCATCGTCGTCCTCTTCCTTTTTAACATCCTTAATTCTCGGAGGTGAATTTTGCTCCTCGTCCGAACTTCCACTCTTCTTTCGGGTCGACCCAGTTTTCGAAACTCCATCTTTGGACAAAACCTTCTTCTTAACATCTTTCTTGATCTTTTTCAGCTCTTCATCTGCAGCTTCGCCTTCTTTGAGCCGCTCCTTTTCAGCCCTCCTCATAGCTTTCTTGTCTTTCGATCCCTTCTTAACCTCAGGTGGGTTCTTGACAATGAAAGTCGTGAGCTTGTCTCTCATATCCACATCCGAAAGAAACCCACAGGCAGCGCACTTAAGCTGTATCATCTGATTCTTGGTAATTAAAACCTCAGTTTCAGGGTTTTTGCAGCCATAGCACTGCACATACTTCTTAATGAAATTCTCGAGAAGGCCAGCGAGCTTGGAAGTGTCGTGAGCTCCGTTCACATGGGAGGTTCCTGTTTTTTCGTCAAACTTCGACTGTGCTCCGAGTTCACAACCGAAATACTTGGTAGTGTATGAAGCAGGTCTAGCCAGAGCCTTTGCAATGTCGACCATGTTCACCACATTGGTTTTGATGCCGTTTCCACGGCCCTCGATCTTGGTGATCATTCTCGGCATCTTATACCTGTAGAAGGCATCGTCGCTGTTGCTAGCACCAATGTTCTGTAAAGCCATCTTTTTTTCTCTGAGGAATTCGTTTGTATGTCACGCCAAAAAAGTCTCCGAGTCGAGTAAAAAAGTGTCGCCCGAGTACTTTTCGGAAGCAAAAATGGAAGGTTGCAATCTGATGCAACCGCAAAACCAAGAATATTCCAGAGATGGCTCGAAATGCATACAGTCGATGCGGTCAGAGATGTGAGTACGACAATGCTCTCCAAGAAACCCAATTGACCCCAACAGGAGAGTGGCTTGTTCGGACATAAAAGAAGCTTCGATCTTGCTACACTTCAGCCTTGAAACCTGTAGAGAGTAGATCAACATTGACGGATTAAAAAACTGATAAATACGAAACAAAACGCAGTGCAAATCTGGAGACTTCAGACAATTATTCATAAGATAATTGAAATTTTCACATACCACAATACCTACATGACAAAGATTACTTTTCTTTTAAGAAAAAAACGAACCCCTAGTTAAATTTGGACGAATAACAAACGATGCAGCGACAACAAACATTAATAAAACGTCTTATACGCAAAGCATCTGAACGAAGCACTCACTCAAACATATCAATGTTCAGTACACAATCAAATCCAGAGCTAAATTGAATTACCGTGCATATATTAGACAATTCAAAACCGACTAAAATCAGCTCGGGTATCGAACAAAACATCAAATTAAAACCACGAAATCATGAAAAGCATAGATCTACATAAACAAATCACTGTTCTATCAGAATACATTAAACGAAAACCCTTTCGATACACACAGATAAATAACACAATAGACAATAATATATATATTCATAAACTGGACTACAAATCAATCGATAATCTCACATGATTCAAAACTAATCTAACCCTAAATAAATTCAAAAAAAAAACATCAGCTTTTCAATCAACAACAACATAGAAACCGACAAAAATCAACAATCCATCGATTTCAATACACCAATTAGATACATAGAAAATAAAATTAATATAAGAGAAGAAGAATTGGAGAAAGAGACCAACCAATTAGAACAACCACAGCTGCACTTTTTTGCAAGAGAGATGAAAAAAGGGGAAGGTATATATATTAGGGAAAAATATATGGAATTAGGGTTAGGGCTTAGAAGCGGATAGGTGTAAGTGGAGGAGAGGCGGCCAATCGAGCTTGCTAATGTGTGTTTGTGTGTGTAATGTGTGTGTGTATATATATATATAATATATATACCTACATGTGTATGTATCCTCTTCCAGATGGTTCTCTTTCTCTCTCTCTCTCTCTGAGTAATTTGGTGAGTATATTTTTCTTGTTAATCAATCCGGACCGCTGGAGTAAATCTTGACCGTTGATTTAGATGGCTGAATTTTGGGTTTTATTTGGATATTGGAGTGTTTACCGAAGCCCATATTTTTGTTGTCGAGAGGCCCAGTCCGAGTCCGTAATAGATTATTCGGTAAATTACAATCGTGCCCCGAGGGTTTTTTTTTTTTTTTTTTTTAATTACATTCATCGTGCAATTTGTAGATTACTTACATTTACACCACTTTCTAGGTGGGTGGACCGTGGATGTAAGAAATTTACAAATTTCAGGGGTTGGATGTAACTTCTAAGATATGCGGGGGTTTTACGTAAATAAGAATTTATCTTGGGGAGATTGTTGTAATTTACCCTAGATTGTTTTATTGGAGTAGAAATCGGAAACGAGTTAAGATTTAAAATTGAAAATATCGTTCCAAATTGAATTTTGGTCGACGTGATTTGGAAATTCAATTCAGTTTATCCCAAAATTGCAGCTCACTCGAGAGAGATGAAATATTAGAAGATGCAACGAACATGCTTTCTCTTCGAAACAGCAGGCGATAACAAAACTATCAAGTCAATAGGTGTTAATCCCAAAAAAGAGCATGCGACGGAAGAAATTCAATTTATTTCGTGCATTCCCGTTTCAAACCATTATACTCGTAGAAGCTCTTACTCATCCCTTCATAAAGCGGACTACGAGTTATGGACTAGTTGATTCGGATCAATTTCGATAAATTCTAGCCCAATAAGCTAATCTTGTCCAAAAGGGTCTCTAGGAAAAGAGTGAGGCCTAAAAAGGTCAATCTGGCAGGAGATTGCATACGAGCCAATTCATCTACGAGAGGCTAGACGAGCAGAAAATGGCGAGCTAAATAACCACCTTTCTTTCCGATACCATTTAACGCAAGTCCAATCAGATATTTGATGCATATAATGTTTTATACTTTCATCACTAGCAGATATCCTATCAATATTCTGTGACATGACAGGATAAATGGATTTGAAATGAAATTTGTGTTTCGTGGATATTTTACTAACATGATTAGACAAATTAAATTAAATCAAATGAAGCTTTTGATGTCCAACTTGGTTGTAAATTCCGAGCACCCACGAGTGAGAAAAGGTAAGAACAACAATCTTAAAATTTTGTAACTTGCCAGATAACTCCTTTAGAAAAAAAAAAGTCACTGACGGCTAACTTCTTCATAAGTCCCGACTTTTCCTCTCTTTTGTAGATATTCGACATAAATCACAACTCAAAGAAGGTCGACGATTTCATGACCTGATCACGTACCTAATAATTTCACAAAACCATTCAATTCAACAAAACCTAGATCGTTATAATCATTCAACCCAAAATTTAAATTGTTAAAATCTAACTTGTTAATTACCATGAATCGTTAAAATCTTTAAATCCAACCAAATATATTGAAACATGTAAACAAAGACTTCTTTAATAATTGAAAAAAGTAATGGGCGTGTTTTATTAACGTTTAGACTTCAATTATCATTTTGTTAAAAATAAAAAAATAATAACTTTTCATTCAAAATTGCTAGTTTCGAACGTTACATGCTGAAAGTTTTCATGTTATTGCACACTTTCTTATTTGATATATATAATTAAAAAAAAAAAAATCAATCAAAAGCTGGAATAGATTCAATTAAGCCATATTTATTAATATTCATTCAATTATTTAGATTTTGTTCTAATCGAAACAATATTCTAATCCACATCACCTAAATGAATTTGACAAAAATTCAAATACTAAATTCCTATTCCTTACAAAAGAAAATTTGAATAATAATAATAAAAAAGAAAAAAAAAAAGAAAAAGAGTAGTAATCTTTTAGGAAAGTAGTGAAATCAAGGCCGTTGATTCCTCCATCAGAGATCTGATCATCTCAAAGAGACTGGTTCTTCAACTATAGTCTCCAGCAACGGTTTCCTGGACCTGCACATAGACAATCTGTGCTTGAACTCCGGCGTCAACAAATCTTCAATATCATCCAAATTCAGCTTCGGCGCCGGCGCTGAAGCCGAAGCCGTATCGCCGTCGCGATCCGGCGAGACTCTCGACGCCTTTTTGGCGGCGGAATTCGCCGCCGCCGAAATCGCCGCCTCATCCGCCGCCGTCACCGCGGATTTCAGCCGCGACATGGGGAAGAACACGTAGACGCCGCCGATCTCGAGGTCTTCGTCGGCGTTCAGGGCGGAGAATCTCCGCCCGATTTTCAATTTTGAAGAAATTTTGGAATGAAATTAACAATAGTTCTTTTATTTTTGCTAAAAAATAAAAAAAAGAATATGTTTTATTGTTGGTACCGCGTGTGGAGCCCACAAGTCAACGCACAGTAACATTCTTACTAATTTAGCATGTTTTATTATTGCGTAGTAATTTAGCAATTGGGCACGGTTTGGTCCAATGACTTCAAATGTGGTTCAAATTTCAAAAGTTGGGTGTATGGGATAAACTTTTGTGGACTCAAACTCGAGTTCGAACTTTTATCGAGTCGGCTCATCGAGTTCATGAGCCGGCTCAGCTCATTTACCATTCCTAATAAACGCGTGTTGATATAAACAAATTTGTCCACGTTCTACAAGAAATGATCTAAGTGTTGGAGCCAGGGCCGGTTCTGAGGGGAGGCGAAGTAGGCGGTCGCCTAGGGCCCCCGATTTTTTACGAAAATTAGGGGCCCCCAAATTATTTTATTTACACTTTATATATTAATACTTATTTTTAAAATTTTATTATATATAATATTTTTGAACATCGGTTCTAAAATAAATTTAAGCTAAATGATCTATAGATATTTTTGCAATTTTCCTAACTTTGGGGCCCCTAAATATTAAATTTATAATGTCTTAATTACTTATTTTTATTCTAAAATAAGAATCAATTTTTTTTTTTTTGAGTAAATTCAAGTCCATTACAAGGGAAAGTAGAGGAGGGGGGAACACGAACCCTAGACATTTACCCTATTGATAAAGGCTAGGTACCAACTCTCCTAATGACGGTTGGTAAATAAGAATCAATATTTATTAGTGTATTCAAGTTTATAAATATTTATGAAGTTTATTTGCTATAAAGATTATACGTCACGGGAGGAAGTGAACCAGCAAATCATATTGTTAATTTTGAATTTTTTTTCACATTTTTAGCTACTTTATATTCATACATTTCAAAAAATATTTCGGGGGCACCGCCCCCGAACCCCTATAATCTTTTATTTCATCATTTTTAGAAAATATTATTTATATTTTTTTAATACATTTAATTTCGAACACCCGTTAATAAATAAAAAAAAATTTATCAAATAGGGGCCCCTATTTTCAGTTGTTCTTTAAACCTCGCCTAGGGCCCCCGAATTCTCAGGAACGGGCCTGGTTGGAGCAAGTGACTTTGTAAGCTATTATATGAGAGTGTAAGTTTATCTAATACACGTGTATGTGTTAGCTGACGGGTTTTTTCGTAAAAAAAAAAAAAATAATTAAGTTTGTCCACGTTCATACTTGTTTAATTGAAATATAATACTTGTATCCCATAATTGTTAGGTACAACAAAAGGAAAATATTTCTTTAGTAGTTTTATTCTATTGTTTGGTGCAATTAAATATACAATTAAACTATGCATAGGATGTTACTTTTTCATGTTTTACAAAATAAACTTACTTTTTCTGTTAGTATGTAAACTAATTCAAATTAAAGTAATTTTTCATAACTTTTTACTTTTATGTGTGATGCATTTCATTTTTATGTACTCAAATCTCTATTCTAACTGATATTTCATGTACATATAACATATTTACAATAAATATATATATTTAAAAAATTTGTTGACATATATCATATATGCATAAGTTTACAACATGATATAAAATATTCATTTAAATTAAAAATATCGAATTATCCGAAATTTCATATCCTTCAAAAATTCAATCTTACCCTAACATAATTTATCTAATATGTGAAAGTCTAACTAATAAATTATTAAATGATTTTTAAGTTAGAAGCTTTTCACAATAGCGAGAGATCAGAAGTTCGAATTGTTTGGATGAATGTGTTTTAAGACACATTATAAAGCCATTTTAAGGGCAAATTACGGCCACCCACAGAGTTATGTTAAATTACGAAAAAATCTCTAATGTTTGGATAATTACAATTACCCCTTCAACTATGTATTGTCTTAAAAAAAATCCGGTATTCAGTAGGTAAATTTGACACCATAATGATGAATGTGCACGACAATACATAGTTGATGGGGTGCTTGTAATTACCCAAACAAGATGAGTTTTTTCATAATTTGACCTTACCTCGGGAGTTGACCGTAATTTAACCTTTCTTAGTATGATATAATATTATTATAATTAATAATTCAATATATGATACCGTTATTTTTTAACTCAACTCGTTTGGTTAGAATCCCACTAATTTATTCAAAATTTCGACCCACTAAAAAACTATTCGGGTCAAATATTATGGGAACTCTTCAGAAGAAGAGAGGCTATTTTTAGGTTTTAAATTTTAATCAACTTCTTGAATCTTGATGGTTGACTTATGAATAATATTTTAGAAAAAATAAAATAAAATTCTGTTGCTATCATTTGTTGCAAAAAAAATAACTCGAACGATGAAACGAGTATAAAATACAAAGTATTATTTTATTGATTTAATAATTGTTATTTCTTTTTGAAGTTTTATTAAAGTCAAATTTAACAATACTAGACTATGATTGGTTAAAGCTCAATCATAATAAAAAAATAATTCCAACACTCAAAGTATGAGGTAATAGAATATTTTTATATTCAAATATAAAACTATTAACATTGACTTAATAATATTTATTTATTTATTTGCTAATTCCAACACTCAAAGTATGTAAAAATATAATATCATATATTTCATTAAAGAACTATTTACATTGACTTAATAATTTAATTTAATTTATTTATTTATTAACACTCAAAGTATGAGAGAATATAATATTGTATATTTGGAAGATTTTTTTATTTTATTTTCATTGTTTCCCAAAAAACAAAATCGTGTTTGTTAAACTTTTCAAATAATTTTTCTCAAAACAATTTAAAAAGTTTATATTTCCTCCAAAAATAATTTGACTGTTACAATAAAATAATTTGACTGCTACAGTAAAAATCATGTCTTTACTAAAAAAATAAATAAACGTCACTTCATTTTTTCAATTTTTTTCTTCTAATATACATTTTTCTATCACTTTTAAACATGATACGGATGCTGCACTGTATATTATCTCCTTCTAAAATATAAATAAAACTTTACTTTCATTCTCACGTTCTTCCCTCAAAGTATATTTTCCCGGAATAACTTCCAAAACGCTCCCAAATACTGCATTAGAGTTTCTTATACATTATTTTATTCCTTATATTTATTAATTTCATAGGATCTTTATTATAGTGTGTTTTGATACATTATTTTATTCCTTATATTTATTAATTTCATATGATCTTTATTATCAGTGACACGACACAATCAATTAATTAGATGACACATATAAAAATCAGAAAGCATAAAATCAAATCTGAACGTCACACTATCATCCAATTTAACCCAATTTGATAATTAACATTTGGATCCCAAATATTCATAAAAATTATCAAGATTTGGAATATTTTCAAAATCATATAATATCTCAAATTTGTCCCAATTGAAAAAAAAAAAAAAAGACAGGAAAATAGTGATTTGGTTTTACACTTTGGTCCCCAATTTGTTGCAACATATGATTGCCTAACTTTGCGTGATATGCTTCTCTATAATTAATTTAAATATTTTATTTTAGTATATAAGATTTAATTTTATTAATATTTAATTAACAAAATATTTAATGTTGGGGACTCAACAAACAGAACAACCAGCTTTCTTCACCAGCAAGATTACTTCCTCCAGAATTTCAATCACAGAACCAAATGATGGCCTTTGCCTAATATCTTTGCTTGTACATTGCTCTATCAGCCTGCAAATAAAATTATTTAATTTCAAAAAAAATGCAAAATAACCGTAAATTGTAATATTTAATTAAGTAAAATTTATATTGAGGAAAATACAGTTCCCTCAAGTTTGCATCAATTTCATATTTGGTCCCTCGTGTTCACAAAAACACATTTGGTCCCTCATATTTCAGAAAGTCAACATTTTTAGTCATTTCCGTCGATTTTACGTTAGTACTAACGAAATCAAGCGTGTGCCCATCACCAAGGGCGTACCCAAGCTTGTGGCTGGGGTGGCCCCCGCCCCCCCAAGAAAAAAATTTTAAGCTGTTTTTTTTTTTTTTTTTTTTTTGGGTATTTATGTATTAGTTAATGCACTTTCGCCCCCCAAACTTTTAATTTTGTACACTTTAGTCCTAAAAACAAAAAAAAATTCCTTTCTTAAATTATCCCTATATTTCAGCCCCCCAAGAAAACCCCCCTGGGTCCGCCCCTGCCCATCACTGTCTTAACTGACGGACTAATGGTAAATTGACGAAAATGACCGCAAGTGTTTAATTATTGAAACATGAGTGACCAAATGCATTTTTAGTGAACATGAGGGGCCATATGTGAAATCAATGTAAAACTGAGGGGTGAAAACTGTAAATTTTCCAATTTATATTTTATTTGATTTGGAAGTACTTCTTACTGAAGGATTCTTCTGGGGCATCGACTTATATGGAACTTCTTCTCGAATTCGATAGACTTGAGATGCATATAGTCGGAGTTCATGTTCGTTATGTGCTTGCCTTCCAACATCTACACCATTACGTCGAAAAGCGACACAATTTATATATGTATTATATAAGATTAAATAAATGCATGGATGATAATTTAAATACCTGATAAAATATAAGACCGAACGAGCGTATGTCTTTTTTGGTATCGTACGAGCCATCGAGATTTTCATTACTTAACTGAGCTGCATGGTGGGGAAAAAAAATTCACAACCAAATAATTAAGAACTATTAATCAAACAAAAATTTAACCGTACATTTATCTTGATTCGTGTGTATTCGCTCGTACAACATTTGAACCCAGTATTCTCCGATTTTCACCTGGTCACCTTCATCTAGTAGCAAGTTTCTGACCAAAAAATAAAAATAGTAATAATAATAAAATGATATTTTTCTCCTAATTAATAGGATAATATTTCTTTTAAAGAACTTACGAATAGCACTATCGATATGCTTCGTTTTAATTAATCGAAAATTTTAATACGAAAAAAACATACCTCGGGTGCAAATTGTTGTGCACTATCGGTCTTGGCTTGTGCTCATGCAGATAATTCATTCCCCTGGCAATCAATTTCTTGTCCTTTTATTTTAAAAAAATTAAAAATTAAAAATCTCGATCGAGTGGGAAATAAAGCATAATTACCTAGCAATATCGAGTGCATAACGTAGACAAGTTGCAGGATCCAACCGAACTTTTTTAGCCAAAATATCGTTCATGTTTCCCTATGGCATAAATCAGAACGAGTGCGCAGAAAAAAAAGAAAGATTAATCAAGATTTTTACGAGCGTAATTTAGACTAACTAACAATTAGAGGTTGTTTGTTATTAGTTATTACCTTTGGCAAGTACTCGGTGATCAAAATCATATCTTCACCCTGCACAATCGACCCGAGAAACTGCAGAATATTTGGATGCCGTAGTTCCCTTAGTAGAGTATTGTCCTTTGCAGTCAAAACCCTACACAAAGTAATTTTAACTTACGATCAATTTTACTGATCGAGAACGCAAAAGCTATTGCTTTACGATGGCTATTAAAAAAAACGTACATTTTTTCTGGATGATATATATGTCTGGAGATAACCGTTTTAACTACCCAAGTCCCGCGCCACTTGACCTTTTCCGCTACACCAAATTGACCCTAAAAGTTAAATAAATACACGATAAATATATGTTATTTAATTTAGTGATCTAAGTACTAAAAACAAATCAAATTATTATCTCTAATATGTAAACCTGCTCAATCATGGAGGAATGCTGCAAGTTCAGTTCGGAGATATCGATATTCTCTTGTGAATCTTCTTCGTGACGGACTAGCTGCGTAATATTTACGGACATAATATTAGTCGATAATTAATGTAATCACACACACATATGTATGTATGTATGTATGTATGTATGTATGTATGTATGTATGTATGTATGTATGTATGTATGTATGTATGTATGTATTACCATTGCTTGGTCTTCTATAAGTTCCCTGCCCCCGTTGACTTCAAGAATCCGGCAGATATCTCGGTGTTCGTAGACCTTTGCATCTGCTAAAGGCTGAGAGAAAAAATGGAAAGTATTATTCAAATTTACTACTCTCATTGTTCTGCAAATATTTCGTTTTAGGTTGTTGTGCACATATTAAAAATAAACCAGGTCACGGGCTTCAATTGCTAGCAAGAATATTTTAGTGTTCGTCCCAATAATATCAAATAATCAAACAATTTCCCAAAAAAAGAAAAAAAAAAGGTAATAAAAAAAAAATGTCCTTCCCTTATTTTATCAACATATAAATGATAGGATTCTGCACTTTTACATTGAAACAACTAGGGGTGTAAATCGGATAGATCGGATCGAAATTAACCCTTTTGCGAAAAAATTCGATTCTTTTCGGGGGTGAAAAACAAACTAAATCAGAAAATCCAAAATCGAAATTTCGGAAATTGGAAAGAAAACACTTGTTCCAAAATCAAAAAATGTTGGATCGGAATCTATGTTTTAGTCACTTAAAATATAAAATATCTAATAGTATTAATATTTCAAGTGTAATGTTTGGAAAAATATCGGAATATTCGGACTCATTATCGGAACTTAAAATCGGATCAGAAATCGGAAATTGGAATTTCATATTTATATATTCCAATTTCGATCCAAATAGTTCCGGAAAAATCGGAAATCAGGAGTTTGGAATTCGGAATGAAAAATATTATTCCAAAATCGGAAAATTTCGGATCAGAATCGGCGGAAATCAGAACTTCCGTTCCAATTTCCACCCCAAACAACAGTCAAGGGTTGGAAATATCAGACCGAACGGTTCAGAATTATACTTTAGAAAAAGAAAAAAAAAATTGAAAATCAAAATTTCAGAAATTGGAATGAAAAAACTCGTCCTGCATCAAAAAAATCCCGTTCCAATTTCCACCCCAATCACACGACTCACGATGAATAAATAAAAACGAAAAACGCAAGCACACGCGACTCACGATGAAGATGATTAGTATTTCAAAATTCAAATTCTCCCCAAACAAGAAATCATATGTAAAAGAAAATGAAAATTACAGTTCTTTGCCAGCGGTCTTGGAGGTTGACGTTAGCGTTGTAAGCCAAAAGAAGCTCGACAATGGAGGCGTGGCCTTCGCTAGCGGCGAGGTGAAGTGCAGTTCTGTTATCGTAGTCCTGCACGTCGGGCGACATTCCCTTTCGAAGCATATCGTTCAATCCAACCCTATCCCCTCTCGATGCGAAGCTCAAGAAATTCCCAATCATTTGCATGTCGAATCCATCGTCTCGTAAATGATGCAGCAGGCTCGACATTTTTCTCTTTTCCGTTCGAGGAATAAAATCGATACTATTGTATATATATATATATATATATATATATATATATATATATATATATATATATATATATATATATATATATAGATATAGATATATGTATGTTTTCTTGTGTGTAGAGAGAATGAGAGAGAGATGTTTGGAGGAAGAAGCCAACAATGGCGGTAATGTCTAAGAGGACTAATAGAGTATGGGAAAATTATAGCTTTCATCCCTCAAGTTTGTAATAATTTCACATTTGGTTCCTCATGTTCACAAAAAACATATTTATTCCCCTTAAGTTTCAATAATTTAACATTTATGGTGTTTTTTGTCAATTTACCATTAATCCACCTGTTCAGGTAGTGATGGGCAATGCTTGATTCCTTTAGTTCTAATGGAAAATTGACGGAAGTGACTAAAATTGTTGATTTTTTTAGGGTGAATTCTACTTTTCCCCTTATACTTTGGCTCGATATCACTTTACTCCATTTACTCTTGATTGCATCGATTTGCCCCCCCTGTATTTGAAAAATTATCTCAATGTGGCCCTCACTGTTAGTTGTTAGACATTTGACATAACACCGTTTGGTCTAAGCTCTGAAATTATAAAAAACAACACACTTTCCAGTTTAAATAATTATTAGAAAACAAAAAAGAAATAAAAAAAATAAAAAATTAAAGACAACGAGAAAGCATAGTCCACGACGGCTGCCACAATTTATTTTTAATTTTTAATTTTTTTTAATAATTATTTAAACTGTGTGGGCTGATTTTTTTTTTTTTTTTTTTGCAATTGTCATACTTAGATCAACCAGTGTTAAGGTTAATGTCTAAAAACTAACGGAAATAGCCACGCTGAGACAAATCTTCAAGTACATGGGGCAAATCGATTCAATTGAGAGTAAAATGGGTAAAGTGATACCGAGCCAAAGTACAAGGGTGGAAAGTGGAATTTACCCCTTTTTTTTTAATATGATGGACCAAATGTGTTTTTAATGAACATGAGGGACCAAATATAGAATCAATGCAAATTTGAAGGATGAAAACTGTATTTTTTCCAATAGTATATGAACTAAGGTTTTACAAGAGTGAAAGTAAAATTACTGTATACAAATTATTTTGTAAGATAGGTTCAATCTTGGTGTCAGGTCACTCACTCACTGAAGCCCGATTTAAATGGAGAAAGATACTGTAATTTTATATTTATTGCCGCTAATCTTGAGTAGTCATTCATATCCGTCATCTCATCTTTTGAACCAAATTTGTACTGTTTGCCGAACCGAACTATTTAATTCAGTAGTAGATAATCTTAGATGAAACACCTAAGCGTGGTGCAAATGAAAGATTTATAAAGACTAGACCAAATATAAAACCAAACAGAACATCCATTTTTGTCAGACATGAGAAAACTTGAAGGAAAGCTGCTGAAGAATTACTTAGATACAACTTTTTTTTGGGTTTTTTTGCAAAACTCACGCCTGTGTAATCTCGAATTGTTGAAAAAACACTCTTGTTAAAAAATTTAGCAAGAACCCCCTATGAAAATTTGTCAAAGGCAATAAGGTCCCTAACATCTTGTCGTTTGCTCCACGCGCGGATTGTGCGACTAAAAAAAATGTTAGAGTATATTTTAAACTCAAAAAGACCGAAATACCCTCTAAATTATAAATTTCGAAAATTACAGATTTACCCCAAAATTGTATATGTCCCAAAATGAAGTTTTCAAAATTTACAATTCAATCCTTCACATTTTCAAAAAGACCATCTTCCCAAATCAAACCAAAAACGTCACTCCAACTCCAGCCGGCAACCATCTTTACACCATCTCCGATTTCTTCCTCACCGGAAAACGTCAACGGAAGAGAGCCACGGTCAACATCGTACCCGCCTCCACCACCGTCGCCGCTGGTGACCTTTTCAATTGCTGGTAGACGGTAGCTCTCCGACGTGTGCGGTGGCGGTGGATGCACCATTTGAGGAATTTGATAGAGAGTTGTTTGGGTTTGGGGAAAATACATTTCCGACCTCCTTGTTATACTTTCGAGCTTGAAATCATGTTTCCAGCCTTCTGTATCGAATATGATGAAAAATCGACTTGATATTATATTATAGCAAGAAACTAGTAAAAAAACGTTGAGAAGATAACGAAAAGTGGAAATAAAAACATACCTTCGAATTTAGCTATTTTGATCCAAGTGTTGAATGTACTTGTTGTTGATAAGTATAACCGGGATATGTGATATTTTTTGCCAGTCTTTACCCTTCGGTTTCTTGCATCTCTTCTCCAGTTGCGGGCAATGCCATACTTCCAGCCTTGTCGTTGATTTCAGATTCTTGAAGTCGTCGGGCAACGCGTTCAAGTTCTTACAACTCTGAATACTTATTTCGGACAGTGACTCAAGACTACTCAGCCAGTTTGGTAAAGAGCATAATCCATCACAATGAGATATTCTCAACCCTCTCAATTTATTTAATATTTGCATGCTTTCGGGCAAATATTCGAGCTCTGGAATTCCATTTATCAGCAAATCTTGCAGGTTTGATGCTCGTTTTAGTGGTCCTGATAAAGACTGCAGTTTCTTGCAATTCTGAAACGATAGTGATCTAAGCGAAGGCAAGTCTTCCAAAATTATTGCTGGAAACGATGTGAGACTATTGCAACCGCGGATATCTAATCTCTCGAGTGACTTGAGGCTCTCGAGTCCCCCGGTTAGAGTATGAAGATTAGAACAACTATCAAGAGATAAGTCTTTTAAAGCGAAGAGGTTATCGAGCACGTTTGATAGAGTTCGAATAGGTAATGAACCTATTTGAAGTTTTTCGAGTGCATTGTGATTTTGCAGTAACCCTTCCGGAAAAGGATCCAATCCCGCAGAATCGTAGAGGCCAAGCTTTGTCAGCGAAGTAGTTAGAAACGTGATGGATCTAACAAGTTCCAAACTGCCATCACACAACATCAAACTTGTAAGAGCTGGTAATTTTGGCAATCCATTCAACTTTGGACAAACGGTTATATCCAAGTCTCTTAAACAAGGAAAACTTTCTACCGAATCTGTTGTGGTCCATTCCTCAAAATTGGGCATATTACAGATTCTGAGACTCGTTAGCACAGGAAACGGACCCCTGGCATCTAAACGCTTGATTGAATCCATTCCATGGAGGTATAGGCTTTTAAGAGAGTGGAGCTTCCCTAAGGGTGGTAGGTGTTCACATCTTTGACAATTGGCGAGAGAAACTTCCGTCATATTTTTAAAAGCTAAAGTTGACATCCAATTTGGGAACCTGGAACCTTGATATGATTCGATACGTATCGTTTCAAGATTATTGTGAGGCTCGAGACCTTTTAGAACCTCTTCAGAATGTTGTGTGGAGTTCTCTTGTATGCCTTTTGTCCAAGATAAACTCAAAGATTTCAGATTCTTCTTTGTCATTAAATTGGCACTTTTGGCATCTTCCATATTTCTCACATACTCAAGCCCTTTTATGCTCAATTTCTCACCAAGGTTCAACTCTTTCAGCTGGTCTATTCGGTGCAATTCATTGGGACCCACAATAAAGACACTTAGTCTACGCAGGCAAGTTAAATTTCCAAGCCTCGGTGGTGTACAAACAAGTGATTGGAAGTGTTCAATGTCAAGAAACCAAAGGTTTTTCATCTCGTTCAAACTTGCAGGCAACTCAAGAAGCATCCAAGAACTTGTAAGCTTCAAAGTCTGAAGGTTTTGGAGACAAGTCAAAGACTCGGGTAACCTCTTGATATTATAGCACGAGAGTACAAGGTACCTTAGATGTTCCAATTTCCAAACTAAATCAGGTAACCTTTTTGTGATGCAATACTTTGCGTCCAATGCTCTTAAGCATATTTGCTTTGAGAAGATGGAAGATAAACCTTCTTTCCCAGCTTCTAGTATTTCTGCTTCTCCATGAACAATAATTGACCGCAAAGAGTCATCAATTGGAAGTTTGAACTCACTCGTACTTTTTGAAAAATTCGGGAAAATTACAGTTTATGTCCCTAAACTTTACCAAAACGATTTATGTCCTCAAACATTTTAATCCACGAAATATGTCCTCAAACTTGCCACTTTTGATCGCTTTATGTTCTGCCGTTAACGTCGGCAGCTAACTTCGACGAAAATAGCACACGTGGCTCATGTGACGTCTATGTGGCCGTTAAATGTGACGTGGAATAATATATTGAATATTAAATATTGACGTGGCACAAGAATATACAAATTTCCTCTAACTCACTCTCCCAAATCCCAAATCCCAAATCACGTTTCACTCTCATTCCCAAATTTTCAATTCAATCTCCATTCTTGCTCGAACCCATACTAAGATCGAATTCATAAACCCATAAAAAATCAAAACATTCTCACATTTGAAGAGATTTTCCCTTCTCAAAGAACAGCAGATTCACGTGCAAAAATATTTAGAGGAAGCTTTAATTCTTCTCCCAACTCCGTCTCTAGAACGTTGGGGTCTTGTGATTTTTCACCTGCTGATGCTTGTGCCCCTTGTGGTCTCGATTAAGCGAGCACAAGGATGGTGAATATGGCACAAATTCTACCCAATTCAGCAGTTTCAGAACCTGCCCAGAAGGTGTTCGATAAAATGTCTGAACCAAATCCGGAAAAAAAAAACATGCAGCACTTGTCAAAGCTGCATATAATTCTTTTTTTGCCAAGAATAGTGTGCCCAAGAACGGATTCCAGCTCCCCGACTTCCCCAACGAAGTGGAGGAATACATGATTTTTCAGCCCGAAGATGAAAGTAAAATCGATGAAACATTCGGCATTTGTTTATTGGGCTATTTTGCTGGTAAAACACCACGAAAAATGGCCATGGATTCACAAATGATTCTGCTATTTCGAATTTCACCTCAATTGAAGGTTTCGAAATGGGGTTTTAGGGATTGGATTTACGGGTTCATTGGGGATATGGAGAATTAAGGATTTTAGAATAGAAATAGGAGAGGAGAATGACGTGTCGCT